TCAGTTCGTCTTGTTATCAAGTATGTGTGTGAGACCTTATGAGTGGACAGTAAAATCTAGAAAGAAAGGCATAAAATTTAGGCTTCCTCTGAAACCTGTAAGTTGTGAGGAAGAAGTCTTAGTTGTGAGGGAGAGCTAAACGTAACAGCTATAGGAAAGACAACCATACAATCGCAGATTCTCCAAGGGAGCGATAAGGCTAAAGGTTTTGGGAATCAGAAAGAAATACGGTATCCAGGGTTCCCTAGCAAAAGAAAACACAATTCTATCTCTGAAAGAGTGCTCCCACTGAGAAGCCTGAAGAATCAGCAGACTTTCACAGCTGGGCAAGGCAGGAAGCGATCTTGTAGTCAATTCTCTCGTTCAGTGTAATGAGGGGAATAAAGGTTATGTGACCATCCAAGCCTGCACCACCAGTCAATGACACATCCATACTCCTGACTTCTGATACGAGAAGGCTAATGCTTTACCAGAATGGAAAAAATAAAATAAAGCGTAACTCCCAAATTAATTTTTTAAAATCAAATATAAAACAAAAATAGCACCAGAATTATCATGGAATTGAGTATTACTAAAATGAATGCAGAAGTCCTTATATAAGGAGCTAATTTCCTTAAGTAGAAAATAAAGGCTGCTACTTGTATAAACTTTGAATTTACATAATTACAAGTAATTACCATTCACAACACAGCTCTATGTTGCTGTTTTAGAGACGAAAAAATAATAAAGAAGCAAACTAATTTTAGATACTGAGAAAGTAAGACCTGGATAGTTAGAATATTCACTGTTACGATCATTAGATTTTAAGAATAATTTATGATTGTGGACACAATGCAAGGAAATACTTAACAGCTTCACTTCTAAAGAATCTTTACATATTAGGATTAGTGACTATCACTTGAGAGTTTTCACCTGCAAGCAATAGAAAACCAAGCTGAACCTTAAACCAAAAATATCCCCTGAAGTCTTCTTTAAACCAAACAACAGTTTAGCGTAACCAGTAAAGAATGTCTGCCCTGACCATTGTGCTCTTTTAAGAACTATCTATAAAAGATCAAATTGGCAACAGCAGTTCGACAGATTAGAAAACTTAGGGGGCAGTGAGTTTATGCTACTGGGGGAGGAACAATTCAGAAAAGGAGGGAGAGAATGGATGCTTGAAGAACGTAATCAATGTCACTAAATTGTACATGCAGAAACTGTTGATTTGGTTTATGTTCTACTGTGTCTATTCTCAACAACAAAGTATTAAAACCAGGCTGAAAGTGGCCTATCCAGTGAGGGGCTATTTATCTTACAACACAAGTTAGAAGCAGAGCGGTTCCACCGTTGGTTAACTTAGCATCAGAGCATTATCATGGACCCAGATGTTTTCCATCTCTACCACATTCAGTGGTCAGCCTTGTCTTCACTCATGGTGCAAAAAGTTCCAGATATCTCATGTAAAACAATAATATCTAAAACATAAGAGAGGCATTTCCTCCCAGACATCTTTTTTATTATCGAGAAAAATGTTTCCAGCAGGTCCCCCAGTAGACTTCCCCTTCAACTTGCATTGATCAGGATTAGGTCAAGTTAGTTCTGCCTATACAGTAACTATCAGGGGGAGTAAGACCATCATCACCGGCTTAAACAAATCATCAATCATCCACTGAAGTGGAAAGAGCTCTGCCTCCACTAAGTACATGGCCCTGCAGAGGGGCAAACGCAAGTCAAAATGGGCTCTTCCAAGAAATCAGGGAAAATGGAGTGGGCAACCGACAGTTAGCTGGAGAAAACTTTTCCCATTTGCCCTGCCTTACCAGTCCCTGGATGGTGCAAATGGTTAACATGCTAGGCTGGCTGCTAACTGAAAGGTTGGAAGTTCGAGTCCACCCAGAGGCACCTTGGAAGAAAGGCTTGGTGATCTACTTCCGAAAAATCAGCCACTGAAAACCCTGTGGAGCACAGTTCTCTGACCCACCTGGAGCTGACTCGACAGCAACTGATTACTGCTTACCAATGAGACTTGGAGGTGGAAATAATCACAAAATTCAGCTAACCTTGAGAGGCCTGAGGAAGATGAGGAAATAAGGATTTCTTACCTAACTAAAAAAAAAAAAAAAAAGAAAAAAATAGTTTATATCCATTACAGAAAATCAATTAGAGACTATTTCCTAAGATTGAATTCTCAGAGTCATAAGGAGTTAAAGAAAATAAGAGCTGCAAGGGAGAAAAGAAAAGGTGGGGGGGGAAGGTTACTGAAGAAGGCAAAAGAAAAGAAGTCAGATACTTTCGTTGCAGGAGAGGGCCGCTGACTTTACATTTGGAGAAGGGACAGAGTATGAAATATGAAGGTGTTGGACAGCACACAAGGACAGTGATGGCCATAATTAAGCAAGTTTCTGTACTATTCATCAAAATACCATTGAAAGATTTTTTCAACTTATACAGAGCACACCTTCAGAATAAGCAATGGTGGTGTACTTCTTCTTAAGTATGTGTTGCTCTACAGAATTTAGCTACTCGAGCAACATATTGTTAGATACTGCACTGATAAATCATTCTTCCAAAAACCAAACCCACTGCTGTCAAGTCGATTACAACTCACAGCAACCCTACAGGACAGAGTAGAACTGCCCCATAGGGTTTCCAAGGAGTGGCTGGTGTATTCAAACTGCTGACCTTTTGATTAGCAGCTGCAGCTCTT